AAGATTTGGAGAAAAAAAGCTGTACAAGCTTGTAATTAATGACTGTATTCTAATGTGTACAAGCAGTTTGGGGCCAAGCTAATATTATATTGGCAACCTTAAAAGTAGCACATCTTACACAAATTTCCAGTGTTTGACTTTGCAAACTTAAAGCTCTTTTAATAGTCTTTGGGATGTATTATAGGTGAGACTGGTGTTAATATTTATTACTAAGGTTTCCCTTTGCAATCCTCGTTTTAAGCTGCTTATGACTTACCACCAGTTTTCCTTGCTGCCTCAGACAGTTTCATGCTTGTGTGTGAATGACTGTTGCACATGAGCATATGAACCCTTTGACCAAAACATTTCCACTATTTAAGTCTAATTTACATTAAATGTGTTTTTCCCATAAAAAAGGAAAATTTCTAGCACCCTCAAAGGTGAAGAGAAGACTCGAATATTTGTTCGCATTCTCTGCAAAAATTTACTCAAGCATAGCTTCTGGAAAAGTGCAGTTTGTATCTACTAGTATAAACTCTCTAGAGCAGCAGGATAAAAATTCTACTTGCACTGGTCATACTTCACCAAGGAACTTTTTTCCTGAAACTGATACTGTGAGCTGCTCTGGCTGGCGTTATCACAAGGTACCAAACATTAAAACAAAGAACCCCCAACTGAGTGCAAAAATAAGAGGAACTAGAACTAGGATTGAGAGCAACGGCCTAGGACAACCAAGAAGCAGAAACTAGAGCTGGAACCTATTGAAAAAGAGAAAATGATCTGGGACTTAGGGCCCAATATGGAGCAAAGATGACTGGGAGGTCAGCAAAGGAGAGTGAAAATCAGGGATTTTAATGGAAACTCTTGGTGAGGTGGGTTAAGACATACTAATTCTGCCATTTCTCAACTTTGAGAGTATAATTTGCAAACCTACTGATATCTGGATATAGGATACTTACATAGGTTTTAAATATATGCACGATTATGTACACAAGTGTCTAAAGAGGAAGGAAATACACACAGCATCATGTAATAGATTTATTCAAATCAGAAATGGTTCTAGGAAACCGGGGTGTGTGGCAACCAAACATCGCTAACCTGATTTACCTCCTCATCACAAGCGTGGCAAAACACCAAATACAGATGTACAGGCATCAGGAGATAGATGGTCTCTGCTAGCTCCTCTAACAAACGCACAGTGCCCTGGCTGTTATAAATGCCTTGAACTGAAAAAGAACCAATAATCAATCCTAACGAGAACATGTGCTTTTTTGATAGATCCGGGCAGTCTACGGGTCTGCAAAGTGTTGCTAGGAATTGCCTAGCGGGCGAGCTGTGGGCAGAGGAATTGGCTGCAGGGGTTTGAAGTTGCGGTTTTCTCTTCCTCCGTTATACCCCTGGCTTTCTTCTCAATAAAATTACAGGCCATAATCATCCCTGTTCTTCCCACACGCACCAGCTTTCTGGATCAGGCCAGGGATTCCCTATGGAGACACTGATATGGGGGAACTGCCGCATACAGGAAGGTTAATTGTGGGCCTGTCAGCAGTGGTGTCAGTCTCTGTACTGACTGCCTCTACAGGGATTGGGTCTGGCATGGGGGCGAGCTACATTTACATGTCAGCTTTGCCTCAGCTCGTGTTTGTTTGGGATAGAGAGATCTGGAGGCAGGCAGCACAGGGACTATCACCACTGATGAGTTCCCAATCACCAGACAGCCTACAACAATCTCCTTCCACAAGGGACTCAAGTGTTTCGACGCTCAGATGAGTGAAATGGAGAGAAGCGAGGAGATGGTGAAAATGTATTTTGCCACATTTCCAGGACACAATAGGGAACAACAGGGAATTAGGAAAGAGCATCATAAACGCCCAATAACTGTAGCTCAACAGTATCCCCTTTCAACTCTTCACTTTACCATGAGACCTCTTAGTTCAAGACAGGGGAACAAGGTCCAGGGAATCTTCCAACCCTTCCTACTTTCCAAGACTCCTATAGGACTGACTGCAATTTATGTTCAGAGTGACTTAGGCAGTGCAATTACTTGTTAAAATGGAAGAGAGAAGCACGGAAAGATAATGTGCCTTGTCCAAGGCCACCCTGAACGCCTTTAGCGAAGACAGAAATCAAGCTCAGATCTCCTGGGTCCCAGTCCAGAGATTTAACCCTAAGACACTCATTCCTCTTGCCAAGTGACAAGCCAGGATGGATTGGACAAATCTCATCTTTCTAGAACATTGCCAGACAGCATGCTGGGAGGAATGGCTATGAAAAGCGATGGGGGAGTGTCCCAGCACGTCTGAACTGAAGAGATCTGAAGAGATCTGAACTAATAGAAGCAGCATCCTACCGTGCTCTCACTTCAGGCATTGTCAGTTGTTTGCTCACAGACCTTGCCTGCTCCTGGAGGGATGCAAAGACTTGCTGTCCAACCTTGGCACTTCAAGGACCATCCCTCCAGAAGACTCCCTTGCTGTGTTTCCAGTAATGGGGATTTATTGCAACCAAGGCCTGACTTGCAGTCTGTCAATGACAAATTATGTCAATGAAACAGCAAGTCCATCCCTAACGCTTCTCCGTGTTCTCCAACAAACATGGCTAGACCGAGCTTTTATCATCTCCTCCTGGTAGCTAGCCATCAGTGCTGCAGAAAACTGTGCTGATCTAATGAGTAGCACCCACCAAACACTAACTCTGAGGTATGCAATACTGCTATTTCAGGCTACATAAATATCTTCTTGAGGTCACTCAAGACTCTGTGGTGACCTAAAGCCTATCCAAACTTTGGACTATACTTAGCAGTTCTCTTTGGATGGAAAAGCATTTTTGACTGCGCTCTAACTGCTCTGCTGTACTGACAGAAAGTTAGTTGCATCACATTGCTAAACCCCATCCGATCCTCCCACTCTGACTGACAGAAATACCTGGAGACTCCTCGCATGACTGTCAATGGAAACGTTACAGTTTCATCTCATTATCAGTGTTCACAGCACAGATAAAACCATTCTGGAAATTAACTTCTGGGTGCATGGAGGAACATCTCATTAAAGCTCAGTATCTCAGCCATGATTCAATCTGTTTTGTTCCTTTTCATGCTAGCTGAAAGCCCCAACTACAAGGGAAGGTAAAACCGTTGCTTTGAAAAGCTCTGAGGTTGGTTACTGTGTGCTCCAGGGGAAGGGGAGTCAGAACTTGATTGCCTTCCTTTGTGAAGTGTGTCATATTGTTACACACTCCTTCCTTCCTTCCTCCCTTCACCCCCCAAACCAGATACATCACAAGGCACCAGTATCAGCCATGCTGGGCTCCATGCCAGGAGAATTAATGAAGTGGTGTAATAGCTCACATGGAGGCCTAGTGATTGGCACCATACTTAAAATGCATCTGCAAGGCAGGAGATCACAGTGCTGCTGCCGTGTTCTGTTTATTACAGGCACGTCCCTTCCGTGCCATTGACTGCTTTATTAGCGCGTTTTGATGCTGCAGTGTGCGGGCCGGCTCTGCTTGAACCACGGAGGTTTGAATTCCAGCACTGCTTAAGGACAGGTAGGCTCCCTTTGAGACTCTAGACCTAGATGACAGAGTCCTCTGCTAACAAGAATTGTAACCCCACTGAGAGGTCCCCTAGGAGTTTGAAGGAACCTGCAGGGCAATACGAGATTGGGTTCTTTCTTATTTTTTGTTGGTTTTTTTATCAGGGAAGGAAAGGAGATTTTCTTTAAAGCGTATAGAGACTTTATAATAACTGCAGCGAAGACCTCATTTCCCAGTGGAGAGAGGAGGTTTGAAAGAGGCTGTGACAATGTGCAGACTCATAGCTTCTTCCTTCTCGTCTGTGCTGCTAAGAGTTCAAATCTTGACTTAGCACAGAGACGGAAAGGAACTGGTGGGCCTTAGCGTATTCATCAACCAGCATGTGATCACATCATGAACTTCAAACAATTTTTCAATCCCTTATTCAAGACTTGGAAAACGGAAAAGGTACAGCTCAGGACTAAGAGGCAGTGGCTGGGCTGCACGGGGAACCAGGATGGCTCCATGTCTACCCTGAGCTATCTTGGCGCTGGGTACAGACTGGAAAAACATCGACTGCAACAGACTGAGGCTGGCCCCATCAGATTCCCACTACCCAGGGCCAAGAAGCATAGGTCTGCAGGGAAGGAGGTGCAAATGTGCCGGCACCGGCTGTAATTCCAGGCTCTTGAGTTCACTGTTACAACCATTCAGGTACAGTTAAAAGCTGGGTAGCGGTCAGCAGCAGCCACCCCTGCCAGCCACCCTGGCCACAGCAGCCCCCCCCACCTGGCTGCGCGGGGCACCATAGCATAGCAGTGCTGCTGGCATGCACTGCCGGCTGTGCCCCAGCACCCAGGCTTTGCACAGCTGTGGCATTGCAGGCTCCCCCAGAAAGTCCTAGGAAGATCTCGTTGGCAACTGAATTAAGCCAGAAATGTTGCTAGACCACCCCTGCAATATTTCTCCAAGCATTCTCCTAGGTATCTGCGTTCATGCCCTGCTTCTAACTGCCAAAGACCCTGCTGCCTCCCTGCCGATCCTGCATGTGAGCCAGCAGCCAAGCAGCATGGAGCGGTAACAGAGATGCAAGCAGGCAGTCTGAACACAACATGCAAATTCAAGTCCCAATTCCTTACGTTCTTTTTTCTTCCTCCACTCATTAATATTTTTAAAGCCTCTTCTTAAAATACCACCACTCCCGCTTTCACTTTCTAAATAACATACAGCCAGTGAAAGCTAACACAAGCCAACGTTTGCAGATGAATCCAGGCTTGAATGCTTTCATTTCTATATCCATGTGTGACAATGTCAGAGGCCTGCTTTTCGGTGTTAGGCTCTTATAAAAACCTTTTAGCTATCTTATGCACTATATATTAATTTATTACTTTACTGGGAAGTGATGGTGCATGGCGTAAGTCTACAGGCCTCCATCAAAACCCCTACTGTAGACAACTGTTGTGTTTGGAATCCATCATTGATTTCTGCAATAATTCTAGGACACTCACCCGCAACTGGTTTCTAACAAGCTGTCCCCAACCTGCAGTGACGCCATCCCAAAGTCTGCTATCCGGATGTTGTTCTTTTCATCCAACAGAAGGTTTTCTGGTTTTAAGTCCCTGTGGCTGTAAAGGAAGGATGGAAGGATTAAAATGTGAGTTAAATTATCCAGGGCATCTTTCCCACTCCAAGATTTGTTCTTTATCCAGCATAGTGCCCAACCTTTTATATTTTAATTGACTTCATTTTTCTTCCTGTCCCAGACAGGAGAATACACATATCCAAGATCCAATCTTTGCAATACTTAAACCATCTCCCAAACGTCCATTCCTGATGTATGTGAGGCTTGAGCTTGCAGCGCCCTAATAAGGAAATGAACAGCTTCATCTCAATGATCTCAACACAAGTTGAGGGAGAGACCATGGCAACTGGGCAGGAGAATTTCATCTTGGATTTAGGGCTGATATACTCTATTATACGACAGTTCCTTAAGGTAGGAGTGAACACCATCAATATATGCTGTCAACAACCGGAAACAAAATGACTGCTATCCAGAGGCAAAAAACATACTTGGTGTAAGCACTACCCCATAAAATCCCTATTAAGTGTTGCTTAAATAGACGTATGGCTTTCAAATTATTTCAGGCAATCAGCAATTAGGGATGGAGAAATCCCTTGAATCCAACACTGCCTGTAACTGAGGGGGTCAACAGTGTCCTTTCCTTCCTTTCAGGCAAAGCTTGACTCTTCCTATTTGGCAACGTGGAAAGAGCCAGGCAGTTGCTACCTGCAGGATGGCAACTTCTGCTTTAAATCAAAAGTACCGCACATTGTCCAATTTATTAACTTGCACTATGCACTGCCAAGACCACTGTGCACCTGCCTCTCCTCCTCTGAGCTCAGGTGCTTTTATACAACTGCTACCTTTCGATTTTTTTTTCCAGAGACAAAAATCTCATTCAAAATTTGGGATTATTTTGCTTTTTTTGCTATTTATTTCTAACTCTTCAGGAATCAAAAGGATGAGGAACCAATTTGAACTAGGTAGACTGAAAAAGAAGCTCATCTATTGCTTCTGCTTATGAGCAGGCAAAATGTGTCTTTGATGCCTTGTTGATGAAAGGTCCAAATCCAAGAGCTTAAATCTTTTTCCAGACACAACCACCAGTTTGAGTAACCAGTCAGAACAGAAGACTGTGGGAAACTGCTGGCTGATGACATGTGTGAGTGTTAGACAAACAACAGTCATTTGCAACAGTGATTCACTCAAAACAGTTACCCTGACTAGAAACTAAAATCAGTAAAAGACCAATAACCTAGTCCTATTATCCTAATAACCTAGTCCACTGACTAGAATTCAGCCTTATGCCATTTTCTCTTTCACTTTATAAGATGTAAACGTAGCACTCCTCACATACACAAGCGTAACTCTACCTTTACGTCCCTGCAGAGGTGGCCATTCTCTGCCCTCCCACAGAAATATAAGAATCATGACAATGTCTTGGAAATTATCCCCTCGGATCTGAACAGAAGTCTGGAATGATTAAATACAGACAACTTCTAAATAATGTAGGCTAACTTTACGTAAAACCAAAGCATGCTGTAGCAAGACGCTTGGGGAATGTAAACAGATATTTCTAACTGAGACTTCCAGCAAAAGAGCACACATTCAAAACAGATACAGGTCATTTACCTTACCACTGGGTCCTATGACTCCTTCTCCCTTCCTTTTTTAAAGAGTATAAAATATGATCTTCATTTTTGTATAAACATGATGAATCCTGCATGTTAAAGCTGTCATGTGTCTTGTTAACCAAGGGCAAATGATCCAGTAGCTATTTGAGCAGTATGATTCAGTATTGTGAATATTTTTATCTGAGAAAGCAAATGGTGCTTTATAAAATCTATCTTTCTCATAGCAATCAAAGTTTTGATGTAACTGGAGACAGAAGACTTATCTGCCATGAAATAAAAACCAAGACAGTCATACCTGTTTGACAAAAACGTCAAACGAGACGAGCGACAAGCAAATGTTCCAAAGGCAGTGAATGAACAGTTAAGGGTCAAGAAAAAAGAACTCCTGAACGCCATTACCAAGGACAGCGGCCCCTGACAAATGCTAGATTGTCAACATCTGCCAAATCCGAACAAGTCCCAGCCCCAGAGTGAAATGGAGTGAAAAGCCACAGTCCTAAGACAAGCCAGGGAAGCTGGACACTAATGAGGCAGTAGTGCAAAATTTAATCTTTCCTCCAGCTGCCATCCTGGACAGTTCTCATCTTACAACCGGTTTTGTTTACTAGGTGCTGGGAAGACTTAATCCAACTGGGGAGATGCATTCAAGTTCTCCTGCCTGAGGACTAGGACACAGTAGCAAGCAACAGTTCCCTGTAAAGCAAGCAGTGCTTGCTTGATACTGGGTAACGAGAAACTCCCCCAAAGCTTCAGCTGAACGCATATCCTTCTGCTGCAGCTGGTTTTTCAGTGGCTGTGGTCGTTTTTCAGTCTCAGTGACTGCTCCTGGCCAATTGCTAACCAGATATCTGGTGCAGAAGCTGAGGGTGCTGCTGATTGTGCCTGTTACCTTGTTCTTGAAGAGGAGCACAGGCTGAAATCATACATGTTCGTTCCATAGCAGGCATATTGCTGACGTGTGCCTTTTACACCCAGAAAGATTAGAACTTGTAGAAGAGAGCTAGCTTATTGGAACGGCTGTTCAAAACGGCTGGATTTGAACTGCAGGAACCCTTCTCCTCCGTGGTGGTGGCCCTTCCCTTTGCCCGTTCAGCCTGTGGCCTGTTAGCTGGTAAAGTCAGGAAGGAAGCCAACTAATGTCAGGGGTACAGACTGTTTCTTTAGGAACTGTGCCAACGTTAATACCTCACTTCAAAATTGCCACTAAAGATCCTGCTGTTTGATTTTAGCTGAGAGATCCAGTGATCGAGGCACAGCATGACCTAAACACAGGAAGTCCAAAAGTGTTTCTCCAACACAGATGCCTGTTTGTTACAAAACATTTCAGGAAAATGGTGCAGCAAAAGGAAATGCAAAAATACTGCCCTTCCATGCCTCGAAGTCACTGACCTTTGCAGACCTGCCACAGGCCCTGGCTTGAGAAGTATATGTACCCTGAACCAGCCACCCTCCCAGCCTGCTGAGAGACAGTGAAAGAACAGGGGTGACACTACTGAAAATGGGTACAGTATTCACCAAGGAAGGAAGCTTCTTTCTCCCTATGCTATCCTGTCTTCCCATCAGGTGGAATCTAAAACACGAACATTTTTAGGCTTGGGTTTAAGGGACGGTCAAGTGGAAAGATGAGGTTCCTGTAAAGTGGCAAATAATTTTGTCAGTGTATTTTACTGGAGGGCCATAGTGAGAGAGACAGGAAAGGATGTGGCTACTGGTGCAGAGTAGGCTTCAATCTCGCTGCACTGTGGGATGCCTTCCCATGAATTATCCACCTGCATCTATCTACCTGGGCTGATGCCAGTCTGTACGCAGAGGTCCAGACAGTATTTTGAAAGCCTGAAGTTGGGACCTGCGGGACTGGGACAGTATGTGTGAAAGGAATTATGGAACAGCAACAGACCTCAGAGGGTTCCCTCCCACCGCCTCTACAGACACTCACCAAAATAATACCAAGGAACATTATCAGCTTCACCCCAGCCCATTCAGCAGAGAGGAGGCAGTGAGGACTCTCTCAAAAAGCTATACATTCATTGCTGACTTGAATTGGGCCCTAAAATAAAAGAACTACCGTAGGTGAGTTTTGCATCTTTCTTTCCCTTCCCCATCCCTCTTTCCATACAGGTCCTAGGGACCAGATACGGATGGTTAGCACAGGAATTTCATGGAAGCCGTGAGTATTTTTCTGTAGTGTGGCGGCAACTGCAGACCCCACTCAGAGATCAGGGTGCCAGTGCAACCAAGCCGTGCTTGCACATTTAACCAAAAAACAGTTCTCTGCCCCAGGTGAAAATTTTTGTCTAGCTAGGACATTGCTCTGCTATTCCATCTTAGGAGCCCTTTGTATTTGCGGAAGCAGCAACTTCGGGACAGAACTGAGGCCAGGAGCCTGGACCAGAAGAGCAGAACTCACATAATTGCCACTGGGAATGAGACTTTCTCTCTGCATTCGCATTTCCCATCTTCACAATGCTAGCTTTTCAAACGCCAGAAGGAAGGGAGAGGAACATATGGGAATAGGGAAGGCTTGTTATAATTTACCTAAGAGCCCAGCAGCCCGGACAGCCTCACGCATTCATATTTGAAAAGAATTCTCTCGTCACAGAATGAAACAAAACAAAACAAAACAAAAATCCCACTGTATGTGGTAATTACTTGGCATTAATGGAACATTGCAGAGTAAATGCATTTAATTTGGTCCCATTCCAGCTGATCTCTCCAGCTCTCCATGTCTTATATGACCGCATCAACTCCTCTCTCTGCAGGTGAGCAGAGGACTCGTTACCCTTTCATTGTTCTAAAGGCTCTAACGCTGTAGGGGCTTTACCACATGGCTGAAAAATCAGAATAGAAGAAAGCAGCTTCTTTAGTGACAAACAGGGCAAACTTTCCTATTGAGCCCTGCATATGCTGAGAAGGAATATGAGAGAGAAACGCAGCACAGCACTGCAGAAGAAAGTCTGCATATCCCTGATCCAGGGTGGCAAGAGACTGCCCAGAGCTCCTCAACCAAGACAACGGCGTAAGAAGTTGGCCCCATGAACCTGCGTAGAGAAGCCATTCGAAAGGAGTGGGAGAGCGGGAGTGAAAGGGAGCCATTAAGCAAGATGTGCCAGGGAAAGCACATGCTCTCAGACACTCTGCAACATCCCTTTCTTAAAAGACTCTACAATTCCCTTGTAGCATATGAGAGAGAGAGAGAGAGAGAGAGAGAGAGGCGCAGAGGTAGACTTAGGATATTGGATTCAAAGAAGCTATGTCACCTGGTACAAGATGATGAACTAATCCATTATTTTAAAGTGATTTTTGAGCTGAAACATTTATATCAGTTTCTATGACAACACGTTGTAGGTCACGGATTTCTAACACAAGAAACCTCCTAATTGGAGTAGTTACAGGTCATTTGTAATAATCAAATTGTTGGCTACTTTGCAAA